TGCTCATTGTCAGCCCTTACCTCCTTGGCTGAGGTGCTGGGTGTCAGTAATTACCCCCTTGTTGTTAATAGATTGTAATAAGACTTATTTTTTTCGTTTATCTTAGATTTCTGTGTAATAAATATAAAAATATTATCAATATGAAAGATAATCTTAATCGTACATCTTTTCATTATGCTTGTATGATGAATGATCAAATATCTATGGAAATTTTAGAACAAGTACATGCTAAACAAGTAAAAATTTTGTTTTTTCTTCTATATATGTAAAAGAATTTGTTGATTTATTTTTAGTTAAATGATTGTTTGAATTTTTCTCCGAATGATTATCTTCTTAATAATGAATTACATTTTGAAAGATTTTCATCTCGAAATTTTCCTGAACATGAATTACAACGAAAATCAATTGCGATTAGTAACTATTTAAAAATAGCTTTTTATTCAAAATTTAAACAAGCGATTGAAAAGAATTCTATTGATGAGATTAAATTACTTAATAATGAATTGATTCAAATGGGTTTTCATCTGAAAGATTTCGATCCAAATTCATCTTTAAATGATTATATTCAAGGTGAACGTTATATTCCATTTTTATTTCTTGCATTTGAATATCGAGCAATTCCAGCAATAAAATGTTTACTTCAATTAGGTTTGCCTATTATTGGTCAAATAGCTATATCAATATCAAAAATGAATAATAAATCTCTTTGGATGCCATTTTGTCGACGATTAGGTGATCTTCAATGTTTGGATATTGTTGATATAATAGCTGGTTTAGAAGATGATGTTGAATTAAAAGATGCTTTTAAACAAAAACCTATACCAATAGAAATAATCATCCATGAAAATTCTATCAAAACTGAACAACAAAAGCAGCAGCAACAACAACAACAACAGCAACTACGTCATTCAAATTGGGAAAAATTATCTAAAGCAGAAAAACTAATCAAGTTTTTTAAAGGACATCAACAAAATCAGGATATAAAATCAAAAACTGATGCAATACGTTACTAAACTTTATATGTATTATTTATTAAAATCTTAAATAAAAATTTGTCTTTGTTTCAGAATTATTTAAATGTAAATTAGCTAATCACATGATTGACTGAGAATAGATATAGGAGTAAACTATAATAACAACCCGAGAATAGGTACAGGAAAGTTAAACGAATAACAGCGACGATTCATTGAATTATACAAAGATGCGGGTGAGGATGTCTCTTCTTAACAACATCCACATCCTCAAATTCTAAGTAGATTTCATAGTTCATCAAATAAAATAGTATTTCAATCATCAAACTTCATTCATCACAATTATGTTTATCTATAAAATATCGTTTCTTCACTTTATTCGTTTCTTATAAAAACAATTATTCTATTATTTACTTCTACTTATTAAAATTATAATAGCCTCATTTAATTCTTAATCAAATTCGTATTCAATTATCATTTATCTCCATTATATTAAAGGCACATAGACATATGACAGTGATCATAGAAACACAATTTTCATTTAATTTCAATGAGATTTTCCTTACTTAAATTTTATAATAATCTTCTAATGCTTTTTTTCAATAAAAATCTTATTCAATAACAATCATTTCTGTCCCTTTGATAATAAATTTTCGCTAGACTGAAGAGGATAGAGTGTAGAAACGGGAATTATCTATTTACATGTATTATTTTTGTCGGTAACATGGCACAAATGACCATTTTGTTGGCGCAAATAATCATGTAACTATGGCATATGTTTGCTAATATAATTTTATTTACTATTATCGTTTTATTTGAATAGTATAATATTTAACATATAATATTTTTATTGAATAAATTAGAATAATCAGGCAATGCCAATTTTACTTTTAATATCGAGGAAGATGAAAATAATATTAATAACAAAAAAACGAAACGTTCGTATGCATAGAGTATTATAGCGCTTTGAAAACAATGTTCGCCTATTTTTATATGGCATGTCCTTTATTATCATCGACAAATGTTTTTAATGCATGCGTGAGAAAAACGACGATGTATTGAAACGTCCTATATGATAACTTAATAAAATAAGATCCAGACGTAGAAGCTTAAAAACATACGCCTTGTAATTTGATCATATTAAAAGTTTAGTTGTTGCATTATTACAAAACATTTTTAACAGGTTTATCAGTGTGATAGTCTTGCTATAGTGCATATAGATAAAAGAGTTCAAAATCAGTTTTGATATATAATGATAAAAAGATCTCCACTGTAGTTTTTTTGTAAAACCCTACTTTTTATAAAACTGACTTCAATAAAGCTAAAGCATTTTTAAACTTTATTATTCATTCGTCAAATATGACACTTTTAGAAAATGTTTGATTTTATATGAGTTAGAAATTCAATTTGATTTCCTGCTGAAAGTCAAAACTAATGTTGAGTAGCTCTCGTTCGCATCTAAATACAGTTGTATTAGAATGCAGAACGCGCCAGTCTAGGGCCAAGTAAATCGAGTTTCGATGAACGCTACTTGTTGGATAATTAAAATTGATAATATGATCCAATTAAATCCGTTGATCCTAATAAGGAATAAAAGACTGTATTTGCAATATTTCTTGAAACTATTTCGTTGATTTTAAATAAAAAAGATGACATTAGCTTGTCGATTCATATAACTTAAACTTACTACAACCTTTTAACACATTTCAAATAAGATCGTTATCATCATATTATTGAGGATTAATGCAATAATTACAGCAGCTACATTTTAATGATAGCTTTTCAATTATATTATGATTCATATGAATATTGATGACAGTTTTTGACTAACAATCTCAACTTTTACAATATCATTTCGAATAATTTACAAATGACTTCAATGAAAGCCAATTTAGAGGAAGCTCGAAAAATATTGTCGAACATCGATCTGATAACAAAATCGGAAATAAAATTTTAACTATTAAAAGTCTTTATTGAACGAAAGAACTGGCTTTAATTATTTTAAAAATTGTTTTTTCATGACTTCATGATTAGAGAATTTCTATACTTGAAGGTCGAACAAAGTAAATTGAAAATGTTTTAAGTACTTCGGACTTGAAAGAATGGTCACTTGCACTACTATGTGCACGTTCTGGTATCTATAAAAGAACAATCAATAAAATAATATGTTAGTTAGCTTTATTCGCCTATTTATTCCTTCTTGTGTGATTATCTAATTAATGAATAGAGTTGCCTTAGAATTTGTAATATATTCTTACTGATGAATTATTTCTTGAACGTCTTGATGATTGTACATTTAATTATGCAGGTTCTATAGTTAAATTTTTACTTCTTTCGAATGATAATCAACTATCAACCAATACAAATCCTCATTTATATATAATCAGCTGCATAAATTAACGGTTTTCCGTGCTCATATCTAGCAGATTTTTTTTTCAAAGATTGAGAAGCTGGGTGGGTGTTTCTGAAATGTAATATCCACACCCGTCCTCAAGTTGAGTTGATAAGTGTTTTCTATTCATATTATCATATTGATCCGTTCCACGGTATGTTGATATCTATAGAAATCATCTATTTTTCTATCTTTCATTTATTTGTTCATTACATATTAATTATTTCTTTATTCGAACAGAAAGAATAACTCATAGTACTGAATAAATACAGTTCTTTTTCTCCCTCTCTTCATTACTTTAAACAGCTTGTTGGGTAACCGTTCTTTTTTTTACCCAATACAGAAAAACTCTACCTTCTTCAGGCACAATAGTTTTTTTATCGTAAAGGTCTTTTCTATAATACACATCTACTGATATGTATTGTTTATCTTACCGATGGGTATTACTACCCATTTGTGTCTCAACAAGATCATAGTTTCTCTGTACGGGCACGCACATTTAAACAATTCTTTTTTTGTTTAAAAAATTTATTTTTTCTCGTTCATAGAATAAAATTCATAGTAATATAATTTATTATTTGATTTTTACACGTTCTAGAGCCCTGTGGTTCCGAAAAAAATAGAACCGAAAACTGAACCGGAACCGGACTTTTTCAAATTCTGCTACCCGAAACCGGAACCGGAACCGTAAAATAAAAGATGATGGAACCGAAACCGGAACCGGTGGAACCGATAAAAATTTTTAAATGTTAGCTAAAACACTATTCAGACACAACATAATTTTTTTTTTCTTTTGGAACATATTGCTCTTTTAATGAAATAATAAACGTCAACGATCTTAAAAATGAAATGGAGAAATTTCTAAAAAAAATCTATGTTTTAATATTTTGTATATTATTGTAAAATCCCCGGTTCTCAAAACAGACTTTAGGAACCGAACCGGAACCGGAGTTTTTCAATTTCTGCTATCCGGAACCGGACCGAAACCGTCGGTTCCGGTTCGGATTCGGGTAATTTTAGGAACCGCAGGGCTCTAACACGTTCTAGGTTATTTCTTCGTTTTTGCACAGTTGGATGATTTGAAGGTAATGATTGTTCTCCAATTTGTATAGCCCGTTCATAAAATGTACGGGCTTTTGAGTAGTTACCCATGTTTTCATATACTAAACCAATGTTGTTATAGGAAGAAGCCAAATCAGGATGATTGGGAGGAAGTGATTGTTGTTTGATTTCAAGAGCTTTTTCATGAGATGAAAGTGCTTTTGGATAATTACCCATGCTATCATACACTATACCAATGTTGTTGTAGGAAGCAGCCAAATTAGGATGATTGGGCGGAAGTGATTGTTTTTGAATTTCAAGGGCTTTTTCATGATAAGAAAGTGCTTCCGGATAATTACCCATGTCTCTATACACAGTACCAGTGTTGTTGTAGGACTGAGCTAAATCAGGATGATTGGGTGGAAGTGATTGTTGCCAAATTTCAAGGGCTTTTTCATGAACAGTAATGATCAAAACCGATTCTTTCTATAGGTGTCTACTTCCTTTCGAAATGTTTTTTCTCTCTATTTAGTTTTTAATGATGTTGCTATGAAAGACAACACATGGAGAACGAAAAAATAAGTGATGAAATATGGTCACGGTTGACTAACCATCGAAGTAGCTTGGCAAAAATAAGTATTTTGTTTACGGTGACGAAGAAAAAACGTATTGAGTCATGTTTGTTATTGAAGAATCCCAAGTAAAAAACGTATTTATATAGGTAAATTTTGACTAAA